ATTACGGTGATTACGTGAACGAAAAAAGACCAGGAATTTCTTGGGAGTTCCCGATTTCTTCGTTTTTTTCTAGTGCATAAGAGTTGATAATTGATTGGTTAGAAACGATACGCTGCAGGATTACTGTAGGTGCGTATGCAGGATCATCATATTATCATCGAAACTTCGTCTTCTACCTACGTAGTATTAACCCTGTCCTCGCAGAGTCGCGGGGCCCCCGCCCTTGTTCGTCGTCGAAATTTCCTTGTGTCTACAGCTCCTTCCACTGTCACCTTTAATTGGTGAAGTCCCTCTTAATCACATGTCGTTATCTCTATTTTGGAGTTCCTCTTTGCCGGTCCCATTAAGCTTCGAACTCCTTCATAATCGATTAGAAATCCGTTATACTGTCTTAATACTTATGCAGCCAAGAACTCGGGTGACGGGTCAGCTGACGATCCAGTGGGTGATTCTGATCTCCCAATTAAAGCCTTGTAGCTTTTACTAGGATTCGTAGAAAGGGCACACAACTTCATGAAAATGCCACAGAAACGGGGAATCGACGAATAACAACTTTCAAAAGAATTATACGAGATGCCTGCACTGGTTCATGTGCGGACAGGAGACGGCGAGAATCAAGATGAGCTTTCCGATGAAATAATAGGTTTTTGCAGAGGGCCAGCTCAATCGAATAATTTTCTACACAGAAAGCGCTTTCGATCCAATCACTTACCTCTGACTGAACGATATTGTAGGGATATGCAATAGATATATCATAGACGTAGGTAACGTAGTTTTCTGAAAATCTATATACAATTGACTGAATATGGCAATTACACAATTACCATTGGATTCCCTTTCACTGGACATAAAAATTTAGTCTTCTGAAGCACTATTGAAACTCGCAGTAAGTGAGACATACCTTTCCTCATTTTCGAGAGCAGGTGGTAGAAGCCAGTTACTCGAGGATATAGCAAATTTTTCAACTCTTTTAAACCATTCTTCTTTGCATACTCCGAGCTTTTCGTGGTGGTCCATGGAGATTTGTCTGTACCTTCAGGGAACAGAAGTAACTGAAATCAAAAGAAAAATTTGAAAAGCTGAACCAGTTTTGGTCTCAAATTATTAGGACCTGATAGTTCTGCTGCATATCTTTGTAATAAGTGATGGCTTCGTCAAATGTTGCTGAATCTTTCTCCTTATTTCTATGTAAGAACAGAAAATGGGCCGCTGACATGCCAAATCCTAGAAGAAATCGTTTCTCAGCACAGAAATAGCAGAAGAACCTGCAGAGAACCAACCAGCTCCGGGCAGGCTCTGCAGTTGGGCTTTGAGTGAGATCTTGTTGGAAGTGATTAGCCACGGATTCATTTGGTACAAAGCCGACCACATATACATCCAATCGAGCCTGAAAATTCAACTGTATGGAGCCCGTATTAGAAAAAGGACATCGATAGTCTCGATTATGTCCAGCATTTGTTCAAGAAGCTAGTTTATTTACGCTGTTACGGACAAGACCTGATGAAATGCCCTTAGATGGTTCTCGACTGAAGACTCTAGCCTAGAGCGCTTCAAAATGACGAGAGTGGGGTCTGACTTGAATCTTTCGAGAAAACTTTGGATGCTCGTGAGGAAAATCCGTCTTTCTAAGTATGGTATATTCAGAGCATGCCGAGGAAGAGTTTCTAGATTGATTATTACATACCGTCTCGAACGAGGCGAGCTTTTCTAATTTTTTTTTCTCAACGCTGCGTTAAATTACTCAATATGCTTCCAGGAACTTCTTTGGAAAAAATAGAAGTTCCAAGTCGATATTAAAAGATCCAGCCTTACAACAAATCTTGTCGCTATGATTCGAATGGCTATATGAAGAAGAAGCGCATTAATAGTAGATGATTTCATTCGGCTCACTATGTTCCATACCCTACTCATATTTTGACATCGGGATGTTATGTGGTAATGAAGCTTCTGACTGAGCAACTCAGCTTATGGACTCCGCCTCGCCACTACCCGATTGCTACAATGCGATTGACATCTTTTCTACAACTAACTTTAGTGGATTGAGGTGCGGGTGATTTCCTGAGTATTACATGTTCTGGCTCTGGAAGTCGGAACCACCAATGACACCCTTGCTAAAGTGAGATTTCATGCATTGTATGAATTTATGTAGTGTGATTGAATTATATTTTTTACGTAGGCTGCCTTTTATATTTTGAGATTTGAAAACAGAAACAAATACTATTTATTGAAAATCGGTTTACTGCTTTTCAAAATCCTCTACATTAAGATCTATATACTTTTACATGAGCTCGAACCAGTTTTTGAAGCACTTTTGCCACTCTGATGTAGGTAACTCTAAAACATAGATTCTGAACGCAACAACGGCTTCTTCAGATGTCGAAAAACGTTGACCTCTCATTTTATTTTTTACGTACGGGATGAGAAGAAGTCACCCGGGGACTACATGGCTGATGACCTGTCAAATCGTTGTTTTGAGGGCTCAAAAATGCAGTTGTTGGAGCCGATGTGTGGCATCTCGCATTGTTGTGGTGAAGAGTGGTCCGTCTTCAGCAGTTGGTTTTCCTGAA